GCTTCATCGAGTCTTGCCTAAACCCAAACAGAATTTGGGGATCATTTGCCCCAACCCTGATTCAGCTCTTGTGAAAGTCCTTGTACGTACTTTTCATAAATCTGGTTGGATTGTAATTGTAAGCACACAGTGTAATGGATCTTTTGTAGATCTCAAACAATTGGATACATTTGTCATCCTCCCACCATTCGATGAGTCTCTCTTTGTGAAAACTTGCAATCTCCCAGGGGCTCGGCACGTCGTAGTGCTCTGTGAATCTCAAATGCAAACCCTGCTTGTTCAGGACTTGTGCCAAAACATAAAGGAAAGTGTTCATGTGCAAACACTTCAGATGAAAACTGTTTTGCAGAAGGGTTATCTGAGAACACACACACCTCACATTTATCACTGGCTGAAGTCGCTGAACTTCAGCAGGAAGTTTGTTATCAAAAACTTCACTTATCAGAATGTGAAATCTCAAGATAATGGTGTAAAACCACAGATATTATCATCATACTTCAGTTCAAAGAAACTGGCTGTGATTGCTTTGGAAAAAGATGACAAGACTGCACTGACTGAGATGCAGCTGCTGCCAGTGAAAAAGCAGTTGTTCAGAAAGAGAGCGGTGTACCTTGTGACAGGCGGTCTCTCTGGCCTGGGTTTTGAAACAGTAAAGTTCATCTCACAAAGAGGAGGGGGGTACATCGTGATTCTCTCCAGGAGCAAGCCCACAGCAGAGGTGCAGCAAGAAATTCTCAATATTCAGCAGCAATGTCAAAACACCATCACCAGCATGGTGTGTGACATTTCTGTCTCTGAGCATGTGCACAAGGTCATCTGTGAAATCCAGCAGAAGTTTAGGGGTTTCCCAATCAAAGGGGTGTTTCACAGTGCGGTAGTCCTGCATGACGGTCTCATTGAGACCCTTAACAGAGACCTTTATGAGAAGGTTTTTTAAACCCAAAGTCAATGGGGTGTTAAATTTACACCATGCTACAAAGCACTGCCATCTGGACTACTTTGTGTGTTTCTCCTCCATCTCAGCGTTCCTTGGAAATGCATCCCAAACAAACTACGCAGCAGCCAACTCTTTTCTTGACTTGTTCTGCCATTTCAGGCGCAAACTCGGGCTGTCTGGGCAGTCCATCAACTGGGGGGCTCTGAACCTCGGTCTGCTCCTAAACAAGGAACACTTCCATCGCTTTCTGGAAGCAAAGGGGATGATGCTGATGGATGTTTCAGAAGTTCATCAAAGCCTGGAGCAATGCCTCATCCTGAATCGACCCCAGCAGGCTGTCTGCAAGTTTCACTTCAGGAACATCAGACGCACATCCTCTCTCAAAATAAAGCCTTGATCTCACGTCTTTTAGCTATTGTCAATGAGGCTTTTCAAAAATCCAAAGAGGAAGAGACTAAAACCGAACAAAGTGACTCTATCTCACCAAAGGAATATGTTTTCTCTCTGCTCAGCGAGACGATAGCCATTGATAAGAGTGAGCTGAGTGATGACTCCCTTCTGACTTCCTTAGGCATGGACTCCATGCAGGCAATGACTCTGCAGAATATGATGTTTCAGGAGAGAGGAGTTAATGTGCCTCTAGTGAAGCTGTTGGATCCCAACGCCACAATATCGACAGTGGTAACCATACTGAGTGAAGTAAATGTCAACGAAAAGTCTCCCATAGCAAGACGACGATGATTTAACAAGATTAAAAAATGAAACAAAATAATCAGCTACGTGTGTCGATGGCTCATGATTATACTGTGATCAGCTTTTTGTACAAATTCTTATAAAAAATCTCCATGTTTTTAGTGCATTTTAGATGAAGTATAGTGTAGGCAAATATTCATATCACACATTTTGGAGAGCTACTTTTACAAGTTTTTACTATTGTTTTTTTTTTCTCCTTTTGTGAAAGCTAACTATTGTTCTTCATGGTTGTTTAGAAATTAGATTTTGTAACTCAGTGATTCAGTTCCTCATCTCTGTTATTGGGTTTATTTTGATCTAGTCATGATGCATGTTTTTCTAATCTTTTATTCTTCGAAAAGATTATTTTAAGTGACTTTTTTTTTTTACATCTGGTCTAGTAGTAACCTGAAATTGTACTCAGCTTTCCAAAAATGTGTTTAATCAAAGTTCATTGGTGATTTATCAAGGGGTAAACTACTTTTTCAAATTGACACAATATTTTTTTAAAACTTTTTAGTTCATGTTAATTTATGTCAATTTTATTGAAAATGTGAAAAAGTCAAAATCGAACCTAAAAAAATATAATTGTCACTAACAATATTTTTAAAATATTACAAAATCTCTGTATATTATTACCTTTTTGTGCTGTTTTATTCAATTTCAACAAATTCAAAGCCCAGAAATCTGTCCATTTTTTTCTACTTATCTTGTATTAACCAGGTCCACAGGTCATAATCCTTTCTTATCACAAACTGATGACTGGCTTTATGGTGATGGTGGGAAACGATTATGAAATAATCTACCACGTCACCGAAAAAGTATGTTTCCTACTAATTTATTACGTGCGGAAAACGAACATTGGCCTTGATTAACACCGCTAAATAAAATTATGTAAAGATCAATATTTCATTATCTTGTTACAATAATTTTGCAAGAAGGTAAAAATACATAAAAAATGATGAACAAAAGAAATAAATATTTATTCAAGTAGATTAAGAGCTTGAAAATGCCAGAATACTGATAAACATTGTTAATTTTGTCATTTTCAGGATTGTCAAACTGATAATATTTATGGCATACAAATATTTTAATAAAAAGTCCTCAATGGCAAGATTTATTATTTTACATCATTTCAGTCTTTCCACACTCACTCAGAGAAAAGCAGCAGTTAGAAAGCTTTATTGATCCGAAGTTCTTTGGCTCTCGGACACCAGCAGAAGCCGTGCATGCTGAGAATCGCCACGAGTGAGTGAAACTCAGGGAGGTCTTCCACAAAAAAAGAGCGTGCCGGGCCGAGGCCTGACGAGGGCCTGCAGGCTCATCGAACCTCGTCAGGTGCGGCTGTTGGTTGAGGCCAGCAGGCTGATGGGGTCTGATGACCAGCTGCCATTTCTGTTATTGGATTTATTTTGATCTAGGCATGATGCATGTTTTTCTAATCTTTTAATCTTCAAAAAGATTATTTTAAGTGATTTTTTTTTACATCTGGTCTAGTAGTAACCTGAAATTGTACTCAGCTTTCCAAAAATGTGTTTAATCAAAGTTCATTGGTGATTTATCAAGGGGTAAACTACTTTTTCAAATCGAGACAATATTTTTTAAAACTTTTTTTAGTTCATGATAATTTATGTAAATTTTTAATGAAAATGTAAAAAAAGTTCAAATCAAACCTAAAAAATATAATTGTCACTAACAATATTTTAAAAATTTACAAAATCTCTGTATATTAGTACCTTCTGTACTATTTTATTAAATTTCAACAAATGCAAAGCCCAGAAATCTGTCAATAGATATCAAATTATTTTTCTACTTGTCTTGTATTAACCAGGTCACAGGTCATAGACCTTCTTATCACAGAGTGACGACTGGATTTATGGTGATGGTGGGAAACGACTATAAAATAACTACTACGTCACGTAAAAAGTATGTTTCCTACTAATTTATTACAGCAGGAAATGAATGATGCATGATGCATGTGTTTTTCTAATATTTTATACTTCTTCATGACATCAAAAAAATTATTTTAAGTGATTTTTTTTTACATCTAGTCTTGTCGTAACCTGAAATTGTACTCAGCTTTCCAAAAATGTGTTTATAATTTATCAAGGGGTAAACTACTTTTTCAAATTGAGACAATATTTTTTATGTTTGAATTTTTTAAAATCTTTTTTTAGTTCATGTTAATAATTTATGTCAATCAATTTTTAGTAAATATGGAAGATGTCAGAATCATACCTAAAAAATATAATTGTCGCCAACAATATTAGTCTTGTATTAAACCAGGGCCACAGGTCATGGTCATTTCTTATCACAGACTGATGATTGGTTTTACGGTGATGGTGGGAAAAGATTATAAAATAATCTGTCATTTCCCATAACAAGTATTTTTCAACTGGTTTATTACATGTGGGAAACGAACATTGGCCTTGATTAACACCACTAAATAAAACTACTGAAGATCAATATTTCATTATCTTGTTACAATAATTCTGCAAGAAACGAAAATACTTAAAAAATGATGAACAAAAGAAATAAATATTTATTCAAGTAGATTAAGAGCTTTAAAATGCCAATATTGGGCTTTTACGGAATGTCGTGTCCTGCTCAAAATTTCCTGAAAGAGGTTTTATGGAGCTTCGTACCAGGAGGCTGTTAACACCGTTGTAAACTGCATGAGTGGGAATAAAAATACTTGTTATATAACATAGTAGGAGTGCAACCAGTAAACCTTTTGTAGATGCAATGGCAAGAACCCCCAACTTGATGACTTTATGTTTTTCTGTTTGTTATGAGCAGAGCACTTTGCAATGCTTTGCTGCTAAAATGTGCTATACAAATAAAATTTGATTTGATGTGATTTGATTTCTGACATCGATCATTTTGTCATTTCAGGACTGTCAGACTGACAACAAGAATATTTATGACATACAAAATTTTAATAAAAAGTTCTCAATGGCAAGATATTTTATTATTTTACATCATTACATACATGATAACAGATTTGAGCAATGTTCATCTGGCAATAAAAGAAATCACCAACTGTTTGTGGATTAAAATAAACCTCAAAATCCCTAAAAATACTAACCTAGTATTAGCACAGTTGTTCAAGCTAGCATTTTCGAGACACAGAGAACAGTTTAAAGCACCAACAATCTATTCCCATGAAGCTTATAGGATTGTTCATAATCAAATCTCTGCTGTCATTGCTGGACACATGAACAAGGGTTGTGGTGAAACTGTTTGTGTTTTAGCAAGGTTCCACAGTGATAGTTACAAAATATTTGAGTTTCTTCTCTGTTTTTCGTTAAAGAATAAGTTTTGCACTGAACTACATGCTGTTCTGCACAAAACTGACCAGAGTGGTAAGTGTGGTGTTAGGATCCAGAATTGTAACCAAAGGCACATTTATTTCTGTCTCCTGGTAGATTTTGTTCTGCAGAGTCATGGCCAGCATTGAGTCAATGCCCAATGCTGACAAACAGGAGTCATCATCAATTTTTCCCACGTCTATATTGAGCATTTCACTGACTATTGTCCTCATCGTCTCATAGGCTGTAAAGAAACACTGAACTTTCGGGGGTTTGTGTATTTCATCTTGGATTGCTGTTTCCACTAAAGTCGCCATTCGCTCCCTGAGAGATGGATTTTGGGAAAGGACATGCAAGCTGAGGTTCTTGAAGTTGAATTTGCAAATTACTTGCTGCGGTCTGTTCATAAACAGACACCTTTGAAGTGTCTGATGAACTTCATGTACACCCATTGTCATCATCCCCTTGGACTCCAAGAACTTTTGAAAGTGGCCTTTGTTGAGCAATAGACCAAGATTCAAGGGACCCCAGTTGATGGACTGTCCAGCAAGCCCAAGATTTCTCCGGTAATGACAGAATGTGTCAAGAAAAGCATTGGCTGCTGCATAATTACACTGTGAGGCATTTCCAATGAATGATGAGATCGAGGAGTAGCATACAAAGTAGTTTAATTTGTTGTGAAGAGTTGCAAAATGGAGATTCAGAGTACCACTGACTTTGGGTTTAAGCACCTTTCTGAACAGCGACTCATCGAGGGATTCAATGAGGGAATCATGCAGCACGGCAGCACTATGAAAGACTCCTTTGATTGGACAAGATGGAAACGCTACCCCAATCTTGGTGATGGTATCCACCACCTGCTTTGACTCTGAAACATCACACTGGATGTTTAGGACAGAAACCCCATTTCTCTTCTGAAGGAGATCCAACTGAAAGCGGATTTCATCAGATGGGACACTTCTTGACAAGATTGCAATGCAACCTCCACCGTTGTGTGCAATAAATTTAACAGTCTCCAGCCCCAAACCAGACAAGCCTCCAGTTACAATATAAACACATCTCTGTTCAAAGAGTGGTGCGGCTTTTGTAGGCAAACAGCTGTGAGTACATTTAAGCCAATCCAATCCTTTATCAAGAACAACCTGCTGCACTGTTGCTGTTGTGAAAGAGGACTCAATTCTAGGCTCTTTCAAATGAAGGATCTCCTCCCTATGCGGCAGACAAGCTGGATCGAGGCTTAGTGACAGAAGCCAGTTAGAAATATTTCTTTTTTGTGCCTCTAGATTTGCTTTCTGGAGAACATAAGCCACATCAAGGTGGTGCACATGAATATTTTTATCATTCAATGTAGTGCTGCTTGTGGCCACTGAGAGTGACATGTGACTGCTGAAGACAAAGATGACATGCTTCACAGTGTCACTATTGCCAAACAATCCCTCAAATGATTGACTAAATGGCGGTAGAAAAAGCAAAGCATCAAAATTTGTCAATTCCTTGGTAAGACTAGCTTGACAGGAAACGTTCCAGCCTGATTTGTTTGCTGTGAGGGCAAGAACTTGTATGAGAACAGCAGCTGAGTCTGGGGAGATGATTGCCAATTTTTTGCGCCTTCCTCTAACTTCACACAGCAACCTCTGCAAAATCTCCCATGCAAGGATGAAGAAGGACACACATGGTGTTTCTCGAAAAAAGGGAAATGCTTTTGTGTCATAGCACACAGCTTCAGAAATCAAGATCTTCGAAGCTGCAGGAACTGGATAGCACGAAGCAATTTGGTCCCCCGGTTTTAGAGTTTTGACGTCTTTGCCGACACTTGAAACAATACCACTAAAATCTAAACCCAGAAGATCATGATTCTCTGTCACTTGCTTGTTCCAGTAAAATGTCCTGCCAAAATTGAAATGGGAAGTGCTGACCGGAAAGTAGTCGGACGAATGTATGCAGACATTAGTCAGCTGAATTTCAACTAAGCTTTCTGAAACTGGACTCATATCAGAGTTATTTTTAGAGGCTTGACACAAATTGGCTATTCCATAGGGATTGGTAGTCTGTAGGACAAAGTCTCTTGACTGGCCAATTGTTTTTACCTCTTCACATAAATCACTGTCTTTAATTGGAGTTTGTGCTATCCTCGTTGTCAATGCCTGACCTTTGCTGATCCTTATATCTTGTTGTTGGTTGGTTTTAATTACACAAGCTAATGTTTGAATGTCTTCACTTGTCACAGAAGCCAGATCAATATGCTGGAAATGAATGTCTGCAATCTCAGCTGAGCAGGATCTCATCATACCAGAAAGCACAAAACCAGGACTCACATGGTCCACAATTAGTTCTGTTGATCTGTAAGTTATGACTTTGATGGCACACAAACATTTGCTCTCTTTGACAGCCAAAACAATGTGACGAAATATCTCACAACAAGTCACTAAGCTCTCCAGAATAATTTCAGAGGACAAGTGAGTCAGGTTCTCCACACCCCAAATGAAGAGAACTTTCTCCAGATTCTCATTGCTGGTCAACGAATGAATCACTAGGCTTTTTACTTCATCTGCACTTAACTTCTTTCTGATCCCTACAATGACTGAATCAGTGCATATGTAAGGTCTTAAACCTTTAGCAATGCCCATGTGATCTTCAAAGATGATGGCTTTTATTTTAGAGCCATCCACATCTCTCTCTTCTGCTAATGCAACTGTTTCACTATGAAAAAACAAAGACTTGGTAACATCTGATCTTTGGAGCAAAAAGGAAATTCTTACACCCTTAAATTCCACCAATACCTTCCCATCTTTGGTAGAAAAGCAACCACACACCTCAAGAAAATCTTGAGTCTCTTGAGTTGTCCGAAGATACATGACCATTGTCTCCTGCAGGGGTTCTGAAATAGCAATACTGGCAATCTGTGATGGGAATCCCTGCTTGAATCCTTGTTGTCCCATTGCTACCACTGCAGCCATTTGAATGAAATAATCCAGTAGCACAGGGTGAATGAAATGGTTATGGACTTTTCAGAATGTCCTCTGGAACTTGGAAAGCAGTCACGGCTTCCTTGAATTTGTTGCCAAGATGCACATTGTTTAGATGCCTAAAAAGTGGGCCATACTCAAATCCAGCCTGAGAGAGAAGTGAATACATTTCTTGCTGTGTCAGAATGATTTTGCACCTTTGGTAGATCATATCAAGACAAATGGTTGCTTCCTCTAGCAGTGGTTGCTGTTCCTGACCTTTATGCCTGCATGTGCCTGAGGCATGAACTGCAGCAGGTGACTGTATTTTAAACAAGGCTTTCCCTTCTGATTGTTCCAGTATCATCTTCAGCTTCTTAGAGTTTGAATTGAGAGTAAGCACACTCTCAAATTCTATACTGAGAAAGACTAGAGAGGCAGGCTTCTTTGGCTTCAGGTTGGGCATCACCAAGGCATAAGCTAAGTCAACATAAAATGCCCCTGGCACAATGGCAATGCCATTGTTTTTATGATCCCAGAGATAGGGTGCTGTCTTCAAAGACAGTTCAAATGTGTATTCTTTCTTGTCCCTTTTAATTTGGGACTCAAGTCCATCGCAAAAAACACCAGATGGTTCATTATCTCCCCTTAAGGCTTCAAAATTCACTTCATTCTTTGTGTTGTCAAACTGGTAAACTGGAGGAGTACAGGGTGATATCTCACAGCCCCTGAAGAGCTCCTTCCAGTCTACATTAATGCCAAATTCAAACAGTCTGGCCAGAGTTGAGGAAATGGTGTCACAGTCTTTGTTTGGGTGGACTGATGGGAGAACTTTGGCTTCATTGCCAAGAGTTTCACAGATGTACCTTTGGAGAGCCATTCGAGGTCCAATCTCTACAAAGACCACATTTCCTTTTGCCGGTTTCTCTCTGAAAACAGCACAAAGAGCTTTCTTGAATAAAACAGGCTCCCGGATGTTCTTTGCCCAGTATGTGCCAGAAGTGAAATCCCCATCTGAAAGTCTCTCTCCAGTAACTGTGGAAAACAGGTGACACTCTATGCTTTTAGTATTCAAAAAGCCTATGCTGCTCTCAATGTCATCTAGAATTGGATCCATCATGTGGCTATGGTAAGCAGCAGGGACATCTAAGATACAGAGGAAGATATTTGCATCTGCAATTTAATCTTCAGCATATCATGGAGAGCATCCACTGAACCTGCATCACCTGACAAAGTGCAGGACTGAGGGCTGTTGAAAGCAGCAACACAGATCTTGCCACCAAAGACTGTGAGAACTTCAACAATTTTTTCTACTGCCACATTGTCGATGACAAGCATCTTTCCTCCTGTGACTCTACTCTGAAGAGTACTGCGGTGGTGCAACACTTTCACCGCATCACAAAGAGACAAAAGACCAGAGCAGTGAGCCGCAGCGACCTCTCCAATAGAGTGGCCAAGCATGGCAGAGGGCTTAACACCCCACTGCTTCAGCAGGGTGGCAATCCCAACTTGTACTGCAAAAAGAAGAGGCTGGATAACATCTGGCCTGCTAATATCGACGTCATCACATTCACTCTCAAGGAGTTTACTGATGTTGATGGGAGAGTACGTCTGAAAGGCAATTTCAACTTTTTGGACTGTCTCTTTGAAAGCAAGAACCTGCCTCATGAGCTGTCTGCACATACCCCTGTAGCAAACCCCATTTCCACAAAACACAAAGACAACCTGGATGTCAGACTGAACCGACTGAAACTCCGTCTTTTGTGCCGATTTGAGCTGTTGTTGTAGATCTGAGAGGGAAGATGTCAAAAAGGCTTTCCGATATTTGTGTTTGAAATGACTCCTCCCACAAGCAGAGGTGTATGAAAGTGTCTGAAAGTCAAGTGTGTCACTGCTGCACAGTCTTTGGTGGGTGTCTGCAATGGTCATTATGAGTGATTTCTCAGAAGCAGCTGACAACACAAAGAGTTTTTGCCAAGCTTTTGTGGGAAATACTTGACGAATGTGTTCTCTTAAAATTACATGCGCGTTTGTTCCCCCAAACCCAAAACTGTTGACCCCAGCTAGCCTTCCAAGTGGTTGATTTGCCTCCCATCTTTCTAATTTGTCTGGTATTTTTAAATTCAGGGTTTGTGTATCTACACTTGAGTTGTCTCTGAAATAGAAAACTGAGGGAACAATAGTTTGGCGCTTCATCATTAGGAGTACCTTGATCAGGCCAGCCACTCCAGCTGCAGATTCGGTGTGTCCGATGTTGCCCTTCACCGAGCCAACCCATAGTGTCTCTGAGTCTGGAGGTCTTGCTTTGACAATGACGTTTGAGATGCTAGCTGCTTCTGTTGGGTCTCCAACTGGAGTCCCAGTCCCATGAGCTTCGATGTACTGGACATTTTTGAAATCAGCGTTGGAGTACATTGTCCTGAGTAGCTCCTCTTGTTGCGTCACTGAAGGTTTGGTGAGAGGAGTCACCGAATGTCCGTCTTGGTTGACGGCAGTCTTGCAAATCACACCCCATATTTTATTGCTCTCCTTCAAGGCCTTTAAATAGAAAAGAAAAAGAAAATAATACTGATAAATATTGTTAGATAATCTATGTTAACTACCATGAATTTAAATCTGTCCTTTTAGTTCTATGAGTTCTTCAAGAAAAGAAACAATTAGATGGTCTTCAAGTTTGCAAAATAACAAACAACATAAATCTTTCTAAATCAGACGTGTCCAAAATTTTTGCAACCTGGGCCAGAATCCCTCTAATTGCTCAGGGAGCCATATTGTTTTGGCTCCCCGAGAAAGGCTAAGTGTTTCCTAGCTTTTTGGATCATTTTTTTACCCAAATGATTTGGTCTAGAAAATCTTTTAGTCTATTTCTGACAACAAAAAGAAAAATGTTCCTCAAAAATCCTTCCATCAACCAAATATAATAGAATAAAAATGCTCCAGTCATTTTTCTTAGTACAAAGTTGCTTGATCGCTATTTAGTAGAAAATTACAATTATAGGAAAACATTTACCATTAAAAGAGTTGAATCTCTCACTGAAATTCTCATTCTAAAAAATCAGAAGAGTTTCCTCTGGAGAGCCAAATTCATAGCATTCTTGAACTGCAGTCTGGGGCCCCTCAGAATTGTTCCCCTCAGAATTGTTCCACAAAAGGCCCCTGTGCCACATTTTGGACACCCCTGTTTTAGATGAAACCTCAAACCTTTTTTAGAGGTTTCAGGAGCAAAACGCCACAGCCTTCTCCTCTTCCGTAGCCGTCTGCGCTGGTGGAGAAAGGCTTGCTGGTTCCTTCAGTGAAATCATCCTGGCTTTGCTGAGAGCAACAAACACTCTTGGCTCAATGATGCAGTTAACTCCTCCACACAGCGCCATCTCACAGTCACCTAGAGCAAAGTTGCATACATTAGGATACAATTTTTAATAAATATAAAGTACTTTGTCTCTTTTTTGTCCCAGACCTTCTTTGAAGTGGTCTTGATCGCGAGACATATGAACATATTGAATATCTCTGAACTGTTTACATCAAACTTTGGCTTCTTTTCTAATATTTTTGCTCAATATGTAATAATTTTGTGCTAGTGAAGTCAGTTATCTCTTGGCTATGAATAATTCGTATAGAAAGGCTGCAGAAAATATTAACATTTAATCTAAAACGGAAACTTTTTGACGTATTTATTTTTTACTAATATAGTCATATTTAGCTAACAAGAGGCATTCCTAAATATGTCTAGATTTGCTACTCATCACACAAGAACAGTGGCGTAAATTTCATAGGTTATTTTGGCTTATATTTGACTAAATATTTTGAGATTTGAGACTTAATATAAACAATAAATGTCTACAAAGCACAGTGAGGCGTATTAGTGTTGTCATGCCTAATACGACAGCACTAAAGGAAATAAATTTCCAACAAAAACAAAACAAAAAAATTCAGATTAATCTCAGGTATTTTCTAGAAAAAACTCAGAAATTTCTGAGCTTGAGAAGTAGAACATTTTCTAAAGAAAAAAAAAACAAATTCTGAGATAAATCTTAGAAATTTTCTAGAAAAAAAATAGATATTTCTGAGTTCTTAAAGTTAAAAAAAATGCAAGAAAAAACGCCAACTTTTCAAACTCAGGAAATTTCCAAAAGTCGAAAATGTATTACTCTTGTAAATCAAAAATGTCCAATTTACATTCCTAGCAAATTTTTCCTTTTCAAACTCAGAAATTGTCTTTTTTTTTCTAGCAAATTTGTGAGACTAATCTTAAATTCTTTTAGTTTTTGGCCCTAAAATTTTACAAATAGTTTGATTTATTAAATATAATATAATATAATATAATATAATATAATATAATATAATATAATATAATATAATATAATATAATATAATATAATATAATATAATATATAATATAATATAATATAATAAGGAACTGTGATGGATTTGTTTTGCTCTGGGCAACTGTACATGGAAAGACTGTTGCTTGTTACCAGTGAAATTCATTATGCCAGGAACCACAGTGCCACCTAGCGGTGAATGGAGAAAGTGGCTGCTCGGAAAGATTTCAATCCCAGTTCGTCTTATAAAGTGAGGTATCCAAAAATTATACTCAAGTAAATAAAGTAGTTCTATTTCAACATAATTTTACTCAAGTAAAAGTAAAAAGTAATCCTTCAAGAAATTACTCCAGTAAGAGTAAAAAGTATTTGACACAAAGTCTACTGAAGTACTGAATAACTGATCAAATTGTTAATCATTTAATGTGTAAAGATTACATAATCAGACAGACCAAAATATAACTTTAGATGGAAATTTTGGTAGTTAGTGATTAAATGACAATAATTCATATAAGTAACAAAAATAAACTCAGGCCAAAGAAAAATGGTTCAAAATCACTTTCTTTCAACAAAAAAAATTAGGAAACTTTAATAAATCTGAAAATGTGTGTCTTTGTCTGGTGAATATTTGGTTAAAACATTTTTGTTTTTCATTCAGTGGATAGAAAATCCAGAAATTTTACTCAAGTAAGAGTAGAAATACTTAATGATAAAATTACTCAAGTAAAAGTAAACAGTTTAGCACTCCTAAAAGAACATTTTTGATAAAATTTTCTTTTTGACTCTCCTCACCCTTTTATAAATGCAGGATTTGGTGAACTACTAAATGTACCTATTACTACCAAACTGTTTATATGCATACAGTTTTATATTAATTTACTACAAGTTTTATTTATGTTTGTCCTTTTAAATCCATACAAAAAAAGGCTGTATCTTCAGAAAATCATATTAAAGAACATAACATGTAAGGGAAGATTGTTTTTGAATGCTTCTGCAGACTAATGAGGTAAATTAGAAATGCCTACCTTGCTTTATGGCCTGACAGGCGAGATGCAGAGCCACCAGAGAAGAAGAACAGGCGCTGTCGATAACGAGAGAAGGACCAGTGAGGTTAAAGGTGAAGGAAATCCTGTTGGCTGCGATGCTCACGGCCGTCCCGGTGCAGTTGTAATGTGTTATTGTCTCCGGCTTGTTATCCCTGATCATCTCATAGTCTCTGTTCATTAAACCTGCAGCATTGAAGCAGAACAGGTTAGAAAAATGCTTCCTCACGAGTTGGTGGGTTTAAAATGAGATGAGTTACCGATGTAAACACCGGTTCTGGTTCCGCTGAGGCTCTCCATAGGTATTCCTGCATCCTCCAAGGCTCTGTAGCTGCACTGCAGCAGCAGCTTCTGCTGAGGATCCATGAAGTCCACTTCTACTTCAGGAATCCCAAAAAACGAGGGATCAAACTCATTAAACCTACAGCAAAATCAAAACAGATCTGTCACGACTCAGAGTCACAGAGTTAGGTAGTCCCCAGTAACATTTATTGGAGTAACTTTTCAGGAAAAATTTACTTTTTAAGGACTTTTTATTTTATACTTAGGGCTGGACAAGATGACTGAAAAACGTATAAGTGCCTCATCAGTTAATATTTGACAACAATCCATTATTTTTGTTTAAATATGTGAAACATTACATTTGAAAATTTGCAAGAAAAACAGAAATTTTTAGATCTCAGAAATTTTCTATTAAAAAACATGGAAATCTCTAAGTTTGAACAGCGAAAAAAAAAGTATTGAGAACAATCTCAGAAATTCTCTAGAAAAATAAAGTTTAAAATTTGCAAGGAAAAAAACAGAATCAGAAAGTGGTGGAGTAACCTCCTGTCATATTGTTCTTGAAAAATTTCTGAGATTAATAGAAAATTTTCTGAGTTTTTGTTGCTAATTTTTGACTTTTGAAATTCAGAAATTTCTGTTTTTCAATAATATTTCAGATATCAATTTCAAAACTTTAGACTTTTTTCTTGCAGTTTTTGGACTTTTGAAACTGACATTTCCACTTTTTTTCTAGAAATTTTCTGAAATTGATTTCAAATCTCAATTTCTGTTTCTGAGTTTTTATTGCAAATTTTCCCCTTTCAAAACTAAATATTTTTGGAAAATTTCTGAGATTGATCTCAAAATTTCTGCATTGTTTTCTTGGTAATTTTTAACATTTCAAACTCATAAATTTCCATTTTTTTCTGAAAAAATTCTGAGGTTAATCTCACATTTTCTGAGTTCTTTTTTGTCTCGGAAATTTTCACCTTTTTTTTCTACAATTACCGTAATACACGGTGAAACAATTATTTATTGGTAGCAGTGTAAAAAGAGCAAAACACTAAATATAAGATACAGTTTTCAGGTGACAATAAATCTGAAAATGATGTAATTGACTGGATTTGAGCCCCATTTTGGTCTGTTACCCATAAATAAAGAGAAATATTTTTTCTCCACTTATCAAACCTGATGATTCTCCTCACCCTTTTATAAATGCAGCTTTTGCTGTTTGGCTCTTTCCGGGTTTGGTGACGTCAGCGTCGTGCCAGAAATTGTTGTCGAACCTTTCAGCGGGAATGTCCGACACGCAATTCCTTCCCTCCTGCAGAACTTTCCAGAAATTATCCAGACCCTCGCCTAATGCAGAGTAGAAGACAAAAAATTACCTTTAACAACTAATGTGACCGACAGCAGCCAATGAAAATGTTTCACCTCCAGGGAAATTACATCCCATCCCGATAACAGCGACGTCCTCATCGGCGTCCGCCATCTTTATTTAGGAAGTTGATTGAACGTCTTTAAGCTTTGTCATGGTAAAACTAAAGGAGACTTCTGCAGCTTTTCTTTAACCTGCTGCCGGCTTATAAATGCTGAGACAGTCAGTGGAGAGACAACAGGGGGTTTGTTCGAGTGGTTTTGTTTTTTCTCGGAACCAAATCTCTTAATTGCAGGTTAAAATGATCCATTGGTAACCATTAATTATCCCTGACAAAGGAGCAATCTGTGCATTTCAGTTAATCCGTTTCAGTAGGCGTCCTTTGTTTTTGTTTTTATGAATGCATTTTATAAGTTTATGATCAACTAGTGGATTTTATTTTTGTCTCTATTTGTATTTACAATCTCTGTACTTTTCCTGCTTTGTTCACTGTAATCATTTTTATGAAATGTAAGCTCAAATTTAGCCTAAATTTTAAAATTGCTAATATTTTTTTAAAGAATTGCTTTTATTTTTAGTATTTTACATGTTTTATTTACATAAAACGTGTTCGTTTTATAATGTTAAGACCTTTGGACTTCATTTTTTAAATATATTTTTAAGACATGACGTATAGCAAAACATATTGCTCAAGGTTTTATTTTCAGAAGCGCTTATATGATTTTTGTCTTTCTGTGAATGAATCTCCCTTAATTTTCCCACTGGGGGACAATAAAGTGTATTTGTACTCTATTCTATTACAGAATGTGTATTTTTCCCTAACATATGTTTGGTATTTTAACTGTACTCACTGCTCAAAATGAAGTAATAATCACTTTTTCTTTGTTTTATGTAACTGTTGCACTAAAATTACATACTATTTTGACTCCTGAATCACAGAAATTACTCCCAACATTTGTTTCCTGAGAGAAATCTTTATTGGAGCTCCAAGAAGGCCGTCGTCTAAAGTAACAGAAGCACCCAATCCGTCTTTTCAGACTCTTTACAGAACATTTACATAAACTGGCCAACACTTAGTTTTTTCTCAAGTGTGGATAAGAGGATCCATCATGATTTTCTCTGACAGAAAAGAAAATGAAAACAATAATAATAATAATGATAATACAGACCTTTGGGCACTTAAATAACTTAGAAACATCATAATATGTAGGAGAAAACATAAAATACAGAAACCCTTCAGCTGTGAGTTTGACAATGTCTGATTTTAACTGGGTTGCGCAGATTCATCATACTGTGGTGATTTAAAAATGTCTGCTGAAGCTCAAACATTTCATCCAGCTTTCACACATTGTCAAAAGAAGGAATAAAAACAACTGAAAGGCTTTCAAAAGGCCAGTCCTGCTTGCACAGCATTTTATTTACAGAGTCTTTGAATATCTCAGTGGTCCAGAGATTTTCCTTCAAGCACCGTCTGGATCTCTTTGGCGTCCAGCGTTTCGTACGTCAGCAGAGCGTCCGCCAGCTTCTTGTGCTCCTTGCTGTAGGTCTTCAGGATGTTCTTCGCTCGGTCATAGGATTCCTGCAGAGAAACAGATGAAGGAACGATAGAAACTGACGCAGAACTGGGTAAAAAGGTCAACTTCTGGAACATAGAGCGCCTAACCTTTAGTAGAACTCTGACTTCATGCTCGATGGCAGCCTGCGTCTCGGGACTCTGCTTGGTGATGTCTTTGTAGGTCATGACCCCGAGCTGCACAGAAACTTGCATCTTTAAAATCACATTTTGTCACTTTAAATCCAAATAAGCTGCTGCTGTTGGCTCATTATGCTGTTTTTAGACGTGTTTCAATGACAAATGGTTCCTATGAGTTACCTTGTCACTCATGCCGAACCGGGTCACCATCAGTTTTGCGATTTGTGTTGCTCCATCAAAATCACTGGAGGCTCCTAAAAACAGACCGATTATTAACTAAACGTTTTAAATTAACATCCTGTCACATCTCAGCAGCATTTTATCAAGCAGCTGGTACCTGTGGTGACGTTTTCGTCTCCGAAGATGAGCTCCTCTGCGACGCGGCCGCCCATGCTGACGTCCATTTGGGCCAGCAGCTGGGCCCGCGTCTCGCTCCAGCGGTCGTTCTCAGGGAGCATGGACACCTGGAGGACGAACAAAAACACAATTCAGCTTTTGTGCAGCTACAACAAGCAATCCTGGAGTTTAAGACTTATAAACAAACAAACATGGCCAAGAGTCGGTCCTCTGGGCATTATGGTGGCCTTGTTGATGGGCATCGCGTCTTTGGTGTAATAGGCGACGATGGCGTGTCCGGACTCATGGTACGCTGTGATGGTCTTGTTCTTTTTGTCTATTTCAACGCTACGCCTCTCAGGACCTGAAAGGAAAGAGACGAGGCGAATCAGGTTATCTGCAGGTTTCATAAAGTCAAATTTAAGACTTTTAATGCCATCATGAATAAAACTATAAATTCTGCTGTTCAGCTTAGGAAACCTTTTTTTTTTCCCAGAATGCACCCAGCCTCGTATGGATCAGCAACAGAAATGAACCAGTGGCAAAGAAAAAAACGCTGTCGAGCCAATTGGTGATAAATTTGCACCCAGAACAGACATTAGAAAAAGCTAGCTGGCTAGCTAGCTATATTAGCAGCTAGTTAGCGGTAGTGTCAAGATAAGTTTATTTTTTTAACACATTTTCAGCAACATGCTTCACATCATAAAAACATGAGACACCAATTAAGAAATACGTAATAAACATCACATTTTGTGAGATTCCATCATCAAAATCATTAATAAACATCAAATATGTTGATCAAAAGTAACTTTAAACAGGTGGCGTTTTAGTCTAGATTTAAAGGAACTCAGTGTCTTGGTTGAACGTTTGTTCCAGATTTGTGGTGCATAGAAGCTGAATGCTGCTTCTCCGTGTTTGGTTCTGATTCTGGGGATGCAGAGCAGACCAGAACCAGAAAGAACGACAGAAGATCTTTAATGTATTGTGATGCTAAACTAACAAGAGTATTTCAAAGAATGAATACAAACATGTTTTAACCAACATTTCTTCAGACAAAGACCTGCAGTTTTTATTAAAGTTTCATAAGTTGCATGTTGAAAGAAACTGATTTGGAAAAAATTTCTTTTGCCTGATTTTTTTATTGTTTGTATGAATTATTGTCATTTTCATCCTTAAAATACCGAAATTTCAAATTAACTTTATATTTTGGTCCGTCTGATTATGCAATGTTTAAATATTAAATGATTAATAATTTGATCAGTTACTTGAGTAGACTTCTTACCAAATACTTTTTTACTCTTACTTGAGTAATTTCTTGGTGGCTACGCTTTACTTTTACTTGAGTAACAATATGTTGTAGTAGTGCTACTCTTGCTTGAGTATACGTTTTGAATATTCTGCCGTCTTTTTTTCACGTTTTTATTAATTATTGTGTTTATTTTTCATACCTGCACATGTTTCTGTGATAAAGAGCTGATCTGAGCTCGCTCACCCATGAGGATCTTGTCCTTGGCGAACTCCAGGTCCTTCATGGTGACCATCTCCTTCCCGTCCACGGCGGCCTTCAGGGCGGACTGGTTCACCAGGTTCTCCAGTTCTGCTCCAGAGAAGCCCACTGTGCCTCGGGCGATGATCTCGGCGTCGATGGCTGACCAAAAACAAAATGACTTTTCAAGATATCAGACTTTCTGACTGCGGGATCCTGCGTGGCTCACTGGCTTGGAGCACTGATGACTATGAGCAGATATCCCTGAAATGAACCTACCGGGGTCCACTTTGATCTTGGAGAGGTACCAGTTGAGGATCTCCTTGCGACCTTTGACATCGGGGCGGGGAACGGTCACCTGCATGTCGAACCTGCCGGGTCTCACCAGAGCACTGAAAGCAGAAACAATTATCAGTTACCTAAAACAAACTAAAAACTGTTAAAACAAACAAAAGTTTTACATAAATATCCAATAAAAACATAGAAAACCTGCAAAAATTAAGTTTATTTTTATCTTTAAAAATGTTTTATTTCAATATTTACATATACTTTTAAAGTTATTAAGTCATTTAGGAGAGAGTCTATAGAGACAAATGTTCTTGAGTAGATTTGAAGTTCAGTCACACTCTTTCAACTTTTCAATTGACATAAAAGCTTTCAATCTTATTTTCTAAGCTGCTTCAAACCACCATAACTATTTCTAAATAAAAAGAAAAATGTTAAATTAACTTAACTTTGTTCTGCTGGTGGTTCGAGTCTCCACCATGAATTTTAAATATCCTACAGCCTTGTTTATTTTCCTTGCTGGATATTCTGAGTGATTAGTTTTTGCTGCATTTATGTGTTGAAACCATTCCACTATAAAAAGAAAAGCTAATTCTAGACAACAATTAACTCAAAGTGGGAACATACTTATCCAGAGCTTCAGCGAAGTTTGTAGCACCGATGACGATGACGCCTTCATTGGGTTTGAACCTGGAAAACATCAAAATAGTGTTTGTTGTGATATGAAACGCTTATCGCGATAAGTTTTTCAGCTGTACTGTCCAGCCCCAAAATAAAGTCAATAAACCAAGACAGTGTTGGTTGAAAATGTATGTTTTTCCAAATATCCAGCTGTGTGTGGACTGGGCCAGACGCTGGTGATGAAGCTCACCCGTCCATTTCAGCCAGCAGCTGGTTGATGGTTTGTCTGGAGTAGGGATGCATCGGAGACTCAATCCTCTTCCCTCCCACGCTGTCCAACTCGTCGATGAAGATGACGCACGGAGCGTTTGCTTTTGCCTCTTCTGCAAACCACAAAAGGAAAACTTGTTTTTAACTCAGCTTCCTCTCCGCTGCGGTTTTCACCGGTTCTGGAAACGTACTGAAGAGGTTCCTGATGCGACTGGCTCCGACGCCCACAAACATCTCATCAAACTCCGACCCGGAGGCGTAGTAGAAAGGGACGTCTGCTTCCCCAGCTACGGCTCGTGCTAGAAGGGTCTTCCCTGTGCCGGGCGGCCCAACAAGGAGAATCCCTGCACAGAGAGTCAACAGTCAGGCTATTTTTTTTTCACACCAGCAGATATAATCAAAATAAAAAACAACTGGTACCTT